TGGTATATTTTGCCTCATATTTTTTACAGTTGGCCACTAAGAGCTTCTGGTTTTTGGTGTTCTGTATGTTGCTTATTCCGAACTGAATATGAGATGAATTTAAAATTTATTTTTATTCTGTATTATCACCGCCACTTGTTGCCGCTATCAGCGCGCATGTGGATTAGGTTTTTTAACTTTAATTATTTATTTATTTTACTTTGAACAGAAGCGCATGTAAAGACAGAAAAAGGAAAAATCAATTGGCAAATATTATGCAGAAAACATAGAGAAGTCCCAACTACTTTTGCGATGCATAATGGTATTTTAGAACATAAATAAAATTTACAATTTATGTTATATACAAGTACTTTTACTGTACTAAAAATAGAATAAAATTTAGAAAATAAGTATTATTTTAGATGAAGATTATGTTTGATTTATGTGATTACGGCAAAGCCTCAAGGCCAGGAATGCCTAGAACTTTTTAAGCGAAACAGGCTCGTATGTACGTTGCACATGGAAGGGGCCACCCATACGGACGGCCCGGATTCGAGCCTCGGACCGAGCTACTAATGTTCAGCGCCTTTACCACTCGGCCGCTGGTGGGCCGAAGATTATATAGTTTCATCGATTAGTCGAAGGAAAGAAAAATAATCACCAAAAAAACAATGCATTTTTTTCCATGATGCTCCGGCAAAATAAGGCAGAATGGTATTACTTTTTGATAAAGCCTGATGTGTCTCATATTCGCTCCAAACGCATATAGATTTCCACCAAACTAAAGGTTTGACCAGTTTTAAATTAAAAGTTATTGCTAGGCTAAAACTGAATTTTGAAAATCGTAAATTCAGTTACACATGCTTTTGTTGCGTCTATCATAATTACTAATGATCAATATTATTCGCCCATACTCTTTTTACATTTTCAGTTATTTTAATATTCATATTTATAGGTGCTCGACTGTACTCGAAAAAATTAACTAAAATAAAACAGTTTAATTTTTTATTACAGTTTGTGAAATATATTGTACATATTTACATTGTACATGTAAGCATTTTTTAAAGCTAAGGAGCAAGCATGTGAGCTGCGTTCTTGCCATGATATGAACTATGTATGTTTCAGTATCCAGATGAATATGCAACCAACTTATACCACAAAAGCAAGTACGAGGAAATGCGATAATTTCATACAATATTTAAAAAGTTTATAAGTGTAAATATATATTATCCATGAAATGATAAAGCATTTAAATTCAATACTATAAATATGATACTTTCTAAATTCGATACAACTACAAAGTTAATTAATTTAAGAAACAAAATCAGTTATCTGCAAGTATAAATTTTGCATTCGAAGCTATGTTTCGAAAGGAAATATTTAGCTGTCTGTTGGGCTATTTATAAATGGATTTACTTATGCGTAGAGAGGACTGAATTCGTTAGAGAACAATTGTGGTTATGTATCATTTTATGTCATTTAGCATTGTATAAAGCTGTGCTAGACAACTAATAACCTGTGGTATGGTAGGAAGTATAAAATATGCAATGATATGTTATTTAATTTTGGTTTAAATGGCATTTGCATCTAAATAATATTGTTTTACAGTCATTAAGAAAATGACCCCATGGTAGGATTTTAAAATGAAATTAATTATGATTTTCACATTATAGAAAAGTAACGTAAATAAGTAAAATGTTACATACTGGCCTTTATGATTTAAAAAAAAAAAAAAAACTTTCATCATGTAGATATTGCTAAGCAGTAAAGCGAATGCAGGCAGGGGGTGAAGCAGCGAAGCAAAAATATTAGAAAGAAACCTTTTCCCGATGTGCCCTTGAATTGAAAAGCAGCACTTGTGCAACCAACCAATCCAAACTCGTCCATCATATTTTAATTAACGCTAGTCACTCGCGACTCTGTGTACAAAGAATCCATTCTAATTGTAAGTGACGTCCCTTAACAAGGCAGAGCAGGCTCGGTTGTTAAAAGTCATTAGTCGTACCATGAGAGCGGCAGAATTACCGGGCTCTGATTTATAATTCTCTCACAATATGAAAAGGCCCAGGCCTTCCCAAAGCGGTAATGATTCACAATTAAATTGGGTGGCTTCCTCGCCCCCTTGCGTCAAACTTCACTGTTCTGCAAATTAAAGTTTCAGGAACTGCAGTTTTATTTTCCAGGAAATAGGTCTTAATGAGTCCCGGTGCGTAGTTATGGCTTAGTTTTAGATTACTTTATTTATTAAAATTCTTTTATTCGCCTTTTTTTAATCTTTATTTCGCAGCGTTTGTTCGCAATTGTGCTCTTCAGAGGATTGATTTAAGCGCTTCGTTGTGGGTTGTGATGGAGATTTTTGGTGATGGAACTTGTTATCTTTATCTCTCGGTGGATTACCTTCCAAACACTTCATTGATGATGATGGGATTTTGTGTTTATTATCCTTCGCTTGAGCATGTTGTTGAAAATGTTCCATAAAATGGCGTAGCTGAATGTCATCATATGCCTTTTCACTTGGGTTGCTTCGTGCCGAAGGGAGATAGCAAGTTCATTGCACTCTTTGAAAATAGCTTACATTCAGTACACAAATGCGCTCCCATAATGCTAATAATAATTCTTCAACAGAAATTCAAAATTTGAAGCGGTAAAGAAATTCTGCTCAGTCTTATCTGGTGCGAATAAATCAAATACGTATTTGTAAGTAAAAACAGTTAATTCTAACAAAACAAAGTGATGTTAATATCTCAATAAAACTTATTCTGAAATGCAGAATATCTGCAAAAATAGACACATCATTATTTTCATCATTTTGAACTTCTTATAAACTTTATAAAATAAGTTTTAAAACGCATTAAAACTGTTTTCTTTAGATTAATATCCATTTTAATACTTGATTTTTCAAATAAACATTTGAATTTTTGTCATTTTTGGTGTTCCTTATTGATCGCCAGTGTGTTTTCCATTCACTGATAAATTATGGTAATATCCGTTCATAATTATAGAAACATATTGCAAATACATTAATTTTAGAATCAGAAATTAACAGTCTTTTGCCCACAGGAACATTTTATCATTATTTGAGAGAACAGAGACAAAAAAAAAACAACAAGAATCAAACTCAACAAACTATTTGTTTACATGGTGGTATGCGTTAAGAAACGTCACAGAACGGCCAAGATCATTCATTATGACGCAGTTTTATTTATTACTATGTCGGTAAGATCGAGGTGATGAAATATACATCATAAATATCGGAAGGAGTTTATTCTTACTTTCAGGGTCACATAGTATAATATCGTCTGTAAAAGTATAAAAGGCGAAGTAATCATAAAGACATACCTTATTAATGAAATGCAATTGTTGCTCGCCATGTATTGGTTACGACAGCAAATTTCAGTGCAAATATTAATATAATGCGTTTCAGATATCGATATAAATTATTGCTTGCTTTAAATGACATGATTTCCACAAACTCACAGAAGGTACTAAATAAGCCAGAACTCATATGTATTGCATGGGCATGAATAATGAAAAATGAGTATTCCATGCGTACTTTGATTATCCACTGCATCTGTGGATGCTGAATGTCCAACAAATACCCCGAGGACTGGCCTTCCGTATGATTTTGATACCGAGAAAGCGAATACCTATATATTTCTGCTGTAATAATATAACGTGTTTATGATTCCAAGAGATGTATAATGCATATTATTCCGATGTTTTTCTTTTGATGTTCTATGGAAGAAAACATCAAGCAAAATATTTTACGTAAATAAACGTACCAAATAATGTACGATATGCGAATGTGAGGAATATAAAATAAGTGATCACTTTGCATTCCAGCTGAAAGTTGGGTTACTAACAGTGCTGCAGAGAAACCAGTCCTGTCGATCTTAAACCAGACTAAGTGGATGGTTTTGCATAACGTCCTACGGCGCAGGTGGGCGTGTTTCACCGAAGGTATCGTTTGTGTTAGATTGCTAGTACTGGGTCAGTGCAGAAGTCCGTGGCATTACCATGTTATGATTTTATTAATGTAAAATATGCTACAAAACAGTGCAGTATACAATAACAAGACATTAATGCACTACGTCATAAATCAATAATCATTTAGTCATTCAGTCAGTCATGTAATCATCATCTTTGTCAAATACCGCCTACCAGCTTTCAGGTAGGAGTTCGATGACTCTCCTGTCTCTCTTTACCCAATGAATGCAAATGGTACACAATGGATCGAATTTCATAATTTGCGCCAATTCCATAATTTTCTGCAGTTCCTGTACACACCATCAATTCTTTTAGTGGCTTTTGCAGCAACAGGTCCTCGATTAAACTCGAAGAGAAGTCGGAAGATTTCATTTTTCTACATTTGACACTCCACACTGATTAGCCTTGAAAAAGACCAAAACGAGCTGTTTACTACAAACAAACTCCTGCTTGCAGCAACTCCAAACTGAAGAGAAACAGTTGAATAACTTAAAAAGAAGGCTTTGTAATGCAGTGTTGCCAAGCCAATGAAGAACGGCACGGATTTATGCACCGACCCGATATGTGGGAATGTTACTAGATGACCCATGGTGACTAACGAGTGTCCTGCCATACTTACCTGACCTAAGTTCTGTAAATCTGATTTCTGCAGCAAATGAAATTTTTCATAACGGTACGTTTTCTCCTACTTCAGAAAAGCTTTTTTAATATATTTTCTCTCTTGTATTACATAAACAATAAAATACTCGTTTTCAATCTCTTAAAATATTATTGTTTTCGTCATTAATACACAGAATAGTGGGGAGAAACTCCTCTAATTTTATATATATGTCGTCATGTGAAATTTGAAACGATTTTTATGACATGCAATATTTTATAGAAAGGTATTTATTAATTCATTTGTTTTATTCCATGCAATGGATATATACTAATTAATCACATTCCATGTTTTCATTAAAGTACAAAATAAGTTATAAAGTTTTAATTGTTTTTAAGTAATATATTACGTGTCTTATAATGTAATTTTTTACTAGATCGTCCTTCTCCACCTGTTATCAAAAATTATTATGCGACATCAACGTCGATAAAAATATCGTGGGAATACAGCAGTTTGCCAAATGCTCCTGTCACAGGTAAGAATACTTAATATGCATCGTTATATCATAAAATATGCTTGTATGATCAGTATTCAGTATATGAATTCTTTTCATTTATTATCTCAACAAATACCCTAGGTGTCTGTGATTACGTATGATTGCCAAATAAATATTATCCTTACAAACACATTAATGAACTCTATTGAATAACGGAAGGCTATATGTCTTCTGTAGCTTTAAATAATCTAGATTTGATCCATTGCTCCTGCACTACCTGTAGGCATCTTACTGGTTCGTAATGGATTGAATGCATACAGATCCGATGAAAGATTGATGAAATTAATTTTCTAAAAATATTGTAAAATTATGTTTTTTTACACAAATTTGCTCGTACAGCTCTTCGCAGTATGACCAGAGCACAATCAGTAGTTATCACTTCAATTACTAAGAACGTTCAACATAAGGTAATGCTAACTAAAAAGCGTAAGCTCGCATAATAATCTCTCAATACCATGAACTCTCAGGACTCTGAACTAAAATCTGAAACAAACTCATACTCTCTCCTTTCTTACTTTGGTTCCCCCGTCCGCTGGGAAGTTTCCAATACCTTCGATTTCCCGAAATTGCTCAAAGACATATGCAGCTACAGTTGCATAGAGCCGGATACAATTATACAATTACATAGGGATGGAACCAAAATGTCGCCAAATTTGGCAACTTTTGACGATTTGGCGCCAAATTTGGGGACAAAAATTAGTCTCCAAAACCATCTCCAGCCTGGCCTAATCTCACTAATTTGGCGAAACAGTCACTTACATCAGTGTTAAATGAACGCACCCATGGTAATACTTAATTTTCCGGTTATGCTTTTGCCCTCTGATGAATTCTTTTATGTTACTTTTGAACTCTTTTATGTTACATTATACAGAAGATACTAAAGTTTACATTTTAGTTTCACTAAAATGATTTACATGTATACAAAACTCATAACAATATCTTCATACAAATATATTTTAACATAGTGTATTAACTGTGTCTCCTTATAATTTAATACATCTAAAAAAACTTCCTTGGTTTTGACATTAAAGCTATTTTTAGGAGTCCTCTGAAAACTTTAGAATATTATGCTGCATTGGGCTACATGAGGATATAAGGTAGTTCTCACCCCTTCTTAGTATTCCTTCGTGGTGTGATGGTCAGCACACCCGGCGCGAATTCGAGAGGTCCGAGGTTTAAGTCCTGCGAAGGCATTGCTCATTTTTCACGTTTCTAAGCATCAAAAATCCTAATGTCTCTACAGTGGCGCCCGAACTAAAAAAAGGTGGTGGATGATGATACTCCATCACCAGGATTTGGCGATTGGGCCCCCTAATCCCAAGTCGCCTTTTAAAAGGGGGAATATATAAGATATTTCTAACGCCTTCTTAGCATACCTTCGTGGTGTAGTGGTCAGCACTCTCGGCGCGTATTCGAGAGGTCCGTGGTTCGAGTCCTGGCGAGGGCATTGCCCATTTTTCATCTCTCCTGCTTTGAAATAATCTAATGTCTCTATAATGTTACGCTACAAAGAGAATATTTCATCGCGTTAGCCAAGCTTTGCTGTTGCAGTAACACTGCATTGCTTACACTAAACCCGACAGTCACTAGCCACAATAAATCTGACTATCACTGATGTCCTTCTGTGGCGGTTAATATTATCCTTCTGTTATATATAATCTTAGCAATCTTTGTAATTTCAGTTAACTGCAATAGTTATCCTACGTTTCGAAAGCTAGTAACCATAGGTCACTGACGATAAACTACACTAGTGTTCTCCGGTTTAATTTTAATCTTAAAATCTATATAAATTTATTCTGCTGCGTAACATTACTGATCTACTGGTTGATATCCGGCTACCTTAATGAGAAAATCATCTGTGACCAGCACTATTGACGGGCACTACTAATCCTCTTTTTTATTTTAATTTTAAAATCTAAATTTACTGCAACGCTCCACACCGAAGACCAATGATTACTTGCTTTGGACAATGGATATCAACTCGTATAGGTCCAGACAATGACCTTGAAATTGTAAGTTAACAGCACTCAAGAAAAGCTTTTTACTTCTATTTGATTTTAAAACCTAATTCAATTTATTGCATTTCCAAAGACTGAAGAACTATGGGTTGACTGTCAGTGGCATCAAGCTGTAGGTCACTGGTGATGAACATCATTAGTGGGCAATGATAACTTGTAATTTAACTTTACTTTGAAAATATACATAAATTTACTGCGCTGTACCACATCGATGACTTATTGGTTTAACGCAAGTGTTGCTAAGCCTGTAGGTCACCCGTGACTAAGAGGCCCAATAGGCATTAGTGAACAATAACCTTAATTTTTTGAGCGCGCTTCGACTTGATTAAAAATTTAATTGCACTGTCCTATACCAGTGCATCACTGATTCATCAATAAAGCCTGTGAACCTGTAGATTATTGGTGACCAACAATTTTAACAAACATCAAGGTCCTACCATTTAAATTTAATTTTGAAATAAATCTAAATTACTGCATTTTCTTACACCTATGACTGATTGATTTAACTTAAACGACCTACCTAAACTCATATGTCATCATTAACCAACATATTTTAAAGGACACAAGTGAGTAATAGTCATGGGAGGCACCAGTGAGTTCCGGTTTCATTGCAGTTACATCTAAAGTAACTGTATTTTCTCACATCGCTGACTTTCTATTTAGGGAACACAACAGTGGCTGTCTGTAAGTCATTGGTGACCAACAGTCTTCATGGACAACGGTATTCTAGGATTTAATTTTGATTCTGAAATATGTCTAAATTTACTGTGCTGCCGCATTCATTGTTGAACCCAAATGACACTAAACCCAACCTTAACGGGCATGTGCTTCGATTCGATTAAAATTCTAACTAAAATTAACTCCTTTTTCCCACACCAGACACCCTTGGACTGATCAATAGTGCTCGTGAATATGTAAGTCACAGATGATTAATCGCTAGGCGACAAGTAATCAGATACTTTAATGGGCTCCGGTATAATTTTATTTTAATGATTTATCTAATTTTATTACTCTATCGTACACCTGTGACAGCCAGCAAACACCAGTGATTGTTAACTTGTAGTTAATTGGATGTTAATAAATTTCACTGACACGAGCGTGTTTCGATTTTAATTTAAAAATGTATTTAAATTAATTCCATTATTTCAAACCAGTGTCTATTGGCTGACCAACAGCGACCTTCAACCTATACGTTACAAGTGACCGAAACGTAATAACTACGTTACTGTGTTACATTATATGAATACATTTAATTTCAAAGGAACATAAATAACCACTTTCATTTACTTATTTTTCCGAAACTAATTTAATTTTCAAATATCTATCTAATAATTAGATTAATGAAAGAGATTATGATTTTTAACAGTAAATTCAAACACCGCTGTTTATTTTCATAATGCATATCTTTCAGTAGAAGAGAAAAAAGCTCACCATCTTGTTATAAGAATACGACGTTGAAACATAAATGAATTCTTCTAAAAAATTTTTCACTTTAAAAATACATTGTAATTATGCTTCTACTTACAGATAACTTAATTTTTTATATAATTTTGCTGTCTTGAGCTCCGAAAAGATCAAATTTTCTTTTCATATATAATTACAGTTCACGAAAATCTAAGAGGAAAAATTGGATTCTGGCTAACCCCTAACCCACAGAACTCGGGAGCAAATAATGGATGGAATGTAAAAATGGATCGATGCACATCTTTGGTACAATAAGTGCTCTGTATTGATTTATTCGTTCGCGTTTTAATAGGTGGCTTTCCTAAACCAATGCAATAATTTGTTTAATATTTGAGAAATTGTAAAATACCGAGTTCTTAAGTATTTTCATTAGCACTGATGCTCTATTTCAATTTAGTCTGTATGGTAATTTCGCAACCTGTTTCTTTTATTTCTTAATTCTGAAAGCAGGTACATTTATATGCACACCACGGTTTTCCAACGAAATTCACACAACATGAAAGATGCCTCATGTTTAATTCCATTTCATACACTATTTCAATGCGCATAATATATGCAGACAATGATATATATTAACAATATACATTTTGAGAACGCATACATGCTTGAGTTTATAAGCCCAAAGTAAATTTTTACAAACTACTGCATACTAAATACGAACTACATGTATATAAAATGGGAATAAATAAATACGTGTGTTGGACCATACAATTATATACATATATAATTGGAATAAATTATATACGAGAATTATAATTGGAATAAGAATGCCTTAAGCAACATTTAAAATTACATACACATACAGCGGGTGTTTACACATTTCAAAATCATTTCGGGGCTATTTAACTAACGTTTAAAATGTAAATAGTATTTATTTAAATATTGAATTTGATAACATTGTTGCATTGTTTTTTTCCCTGAAGTACATAAGTTTGATCACGATTTCCATGACAGCAGAGTTTTTCATAAAATTTCGTGGGATAAAGTTTTCCATTCCTTTCCAACTACTATACGCAGTCCAGCAATCGTGGTGGATTTGCGCTTAGAAAGAGCTCTTTGCAAGAGACCACAGGCCCAATTCCATTAGTGAAATATCAGGACACGTTTCAGAAATACCTTGAAAAGGTATATATGTAAAATCTTTATCAGTCTTTATTTCTTTCAAGAAATGCAGTGCTGCTTTTCCAAGTATGATTTGTTGCTTTGTCTTGATGAAGTTTAAATCTTTGAAAGCCATTGGGATGAAGAAATCGAACTTTTTCTACAAATATCGGATATAAAACTTCTCTTGATAGTATGCTGATTTTAGCATTTTTTTTCCAATTTTCATATTTTTAATTTTCCAGTGGAAGAGAAACCTTCCACAGTTATGAACCCTTTACTAAAACATTCTTTGCATTGATGGAACCAAGACTGGAATGTGTTTGTTCACTTCGTTTTCGAAAATAAATAGACCTTTCATTCAGTCATTTAGGCAAACCGAGGATCTGAACGTAT